GGCATGGAGGAAATTGGGGTGTTTGGGGCAAGGGAATGTGTCCGTCGTAATTACTGAATGACCGAAATTCATGCATCAAATTCAGAGTGTGAGTCCTCCCTTTCTTCGGAGTTGTCTCGTTCCTCAGGCGTGCCGCGTTTGCTAACGCGCCGCTTGTTGTGTGCGACTCTGATAGCCTTGAGGAGCGCCTTCACCGATTTGTCGGCCACCGGGTAAGTCTCACAGAAGCGAGCATCGTCACGGCCCAAGCTGATGAGATTAATGTGTTTTCAGCTTTCAGATGTGCATGCGAGCCGATGAAGAAATCACACACCGTTCATATTCGTTAGCGATCATCTTTCTCTGGGAATACAAGGAGCCGGTAAACCTTTTCATCCCACCCTGATACCACTCCTTTGGCCAATCTTTCAGAGCCATTACCGATGCATCACCAAGCTCCCACTGCTGAACTACGTCACGCCAATTCTTCACATCAGGGATCACCACACCAGGAATGGGAAAATTCAGGCTGTCCGAGGGGCTTTGAGTTTGGGCATCTCCTGCCAGGCTATCGACATCAGAGTGGCTGGGTATGCTCGAGGTACGGCGGTTTGGCGCATGTGCAGAGTACGGATTGGAAGAGTGGCGAGCACTGTGACCACGGCGCAGCGAAGATCGCTCCTGAGGCATTGGCTCTCCCACACTCATTGACGGAGGGGATTCCAGATTAGGCTCAGGGCTGGGAGATGCAGAAAGGCGAGTTTCGGACAAGGCAGCTGTGACCTGACCGACAATCTCAGAAACAGCGTTTCCGAGAGAACGATCCATCGAGATTTTCCACTGCCGGATTTCCTCAGTAGAGGGTGGCGCCTGGTTGATGTGTTCGCCCATGAAGCTTTTATCGGCCTCCGCTGCGATTGGGCACAATGCGTTTCCGTGACCTGTCTCATAGCTTTGGAGTGAATCTACAAGGTATTTTATCATTGTGTCGACCTTTCGAAATTTGATGTAAATCAGTGACAAACACGCTAAGTATGATATCACAGAAATCTACCTGTTCGCCTTTGGCCCACCCACCCCACCATCGAATAATACTCAAAGACCAGCGACGGCCAATCGGTGCATACATGAACCGATATTGAGCGCCACCTCTTCGGAAGCAATGCGTCGTGTAGGTCTTCGTCAGGCCAGCACCGGCCACGAACTCGCTGAGGTGCTTCTGGAACGTGTCATATGACATAGTGCGCTTCGGATCAATGGTGCCATTATGCGAGATATGGGGGAAGATAAAGTCACTAGACTCGAGACTACGGCCGAGGCGGCCCTCCAAATATTTCAACCAGCGTTGGAGGTGAGTAAACATGTCCATTGCACCGATATCTTGCTGATAGATCTTATAAATGCCACCTAGTCAACAAAAAATCCCTAAAGTTAGCTTTGGACAACGTCGGAACAATGATTTACACACTTGTGCGTGGACCATCATAGCCCGCTTGCTTCTGCCAATTCTTACGCTCTTCAAGCCGGACCTCAAAATAAGGGAAGTGGTATGGTGCAGGTCCCTTCAAGCCCATCGTAAGATCGCCATACTGTAGAGAGAGGCCTTCGAAAACCCTAAAAGGTGATATCAAGCTAAATTCCCAAATTGGACATGTGTAAACTCTCATACGGTCATACCTTAGCATCAACACGAACAGCGTTGGATACAACGCCCGCATGAGGCCATGCAGGGCGACGGACTCAGGATTGGATGGCACGTTATCAAATAGTTCATTGGGGCATCTTCCCTCTGACCAGTCCATAATTTTTTGCAGGTCCTCGAGTGACATGGCCTCGGCATGCTTCCGTGTTGCAGCTGCCCCCTTTGTAGCTGCCCTAGTTTTCACCGCTTTCATCAAATCGTGGATAGCTGGAGCTCGAGCTGGACATCCAGAGACCTTCCCAGTGGTTTCATCCAGGGAATAGGCACCAGCATAGGTCTGTCCCTCCCTGCAGGTTTGTTTCAGTAACGGAAAAGTGGGAGATTGATGGTCTTGAACGCTCACATTTTATCCCAGTAGTCTGCAAATGCTCCTTGGATTCCTTCTGCGGAGCTTTTCGACAGTTCCTCCGTGAATACTTTTTGAACAAGGAAGAACTCGAGTGCAACAGCGGAGTAACGGTTTGGCGGCTTGTCGAAAGCTTTCGCAAGCTCAATGGTAG